TTTATTATTAAATAATTAATAATTTTCTTACAATAGTCTCACGTTTTGCCAAAAAAACCTACATAAAAGCAATCAACTGACGATTGTGTGGTGTGTAATTAATCATATGATTTCAGTCCATTTTGTAACTAAAAAATGACGTTTCAGAAATAAGTCTATGGAACTGTGTTTATGCTCTATGACCGTTCCTAGCCTTAAAAGTGTACTTGCAAATTCGTAGTCTCTTATATTAATATTTAAATCAATGAAGGTAAACAATAATTCTAATAAGTGTATTAAACGAGAATAAAATAAATCATTTTTAGATGCAAAACAATCCAACAAAATCGCACATAACAGATGCAAAGGAAACATTCCGCATATTAATGGAATTGTCTCAGTTATTGTGCACTGGATTAGATCCAGAAACACTAACTATATGTATTAGATTATGTGAAGAGGGTATTAATCCAGAAGCACTTGCCACTATTGTAAGAGAACTTCAAAAGGAAGTAGCATATAACAACAAAGACAAAAATTGAACCTCTTATTTTTGTCATGATTATCGTGTGAACAGGTGTTTTTGTAGTTGTTCCTAAATTAAAACGCAGAACCTGACAAAGAGACATGAAAAAATTTATTGGCTAATATTTAACAATGATTTTATAATTCATCTTCTAGATGCCTTTTTATTCCATATTTTCCTGGATAAACTTTGCTCTCTATTGTGACACTTTCACACTTTTCCTGTTCTATTAAATAATCTTTTGCTGTCCAGGCCTGTGAACCATCTTTGTACATGAATATAGCACGATTATCATCCACTAGGTACCTATTGTAGCCATTTATTATTTAGTTTATATCCTTCATCCAATGTTCTGTTCTTACCTTTCAGCTTGAATATGATTATTCCATAAACTAGTTTGCCAAAGTTTTGTTAATTCTTCAGTTTCTTCCCTTTTTGGATTTCCCGATACACTAACAAAAGTCATTAGTGTTCTACCTTTTTTAGCTAGCTGCAAGAGCTTTTCTGGATCACTAGAACCAATTTTATTAAAATCTATTGGTTGCTGAGGTTTTAAATATTCCGGAAGTTCATCCTCCGGTAGTGGCTCTTCATCTTCCTATTTTGTTAAATTTTAAATTAATGAAAATTACAAAATTAATTAATTTACCTCCCACTGATCCAATAAATGTTCTAAATCAGCGTCAGTAAAGTCCCGCACATCTTTTTTGGCCCATTCTGGTTTTTCATCTTCTTTAAATTTTTTACAGACAGTTAAAGTACAGATACATAATATTAGTACGTAAAAATTTTTCATTCTTGAATTTAAAATATTGTTTTTGGATTTGCCAAATGAAGAAATTTTACACTTTTTTACAGAGCATAGAACACAAAGAGAGGTTATAACTACTCGATTATGAAAATGATGTCAATCAATCTATGATTTGTGAGTTTTGATGGATCTCCAGCATCAGTTATTGTTATGTTTGTTATTATGGGCTAAAGGCTCTTCAGACAATGGACGACTACTGTTCTTCTTGACTTCTTCACGACTGCTTTCGCGCCTCCTGTACTCATGACTAATCACTAAACTCTATAACATCTAACCATAGAGACTAACTATAGAATATACATATATAGAATAACATATACACAACATTATGATGGATCGTCTCCAGGTAGTTTCAGGTATCTATGGTAAATGACGTTTAGACGAGACAGTTGGTTACGAAAAGGCGCAAATTAACCAAGATGAATAAATCAATTAACAAATAAAATTGAAAGGTACATATAGGTAAGTAAATATCGTTTGCATATTTCTTTGTCTTTTTGATCAATTTTTGTTACTATCTGTTCAAAGTGTCTATTTCATTCCCTCTGGTAACAAATGTAAACAAGGACTGTAAAACTATTGACTGTGACATTGTTTTTTTTTTTTAGATTTTGCACGTTTGTTTTATTTAGTTTGGTATATTTTTCTGTTTTACAGGTTGATTAAGGAATAATGTAATTGTTCTCTTTATTGATTTCTGCCGCCTCGCTGATGAATAAGACTATCGTATATTGAAGATTATTTCAATACTACTGGGGCATCTTGGACTTTTACAGGTGAGAAAATTAAGATTTCTTTTAGTTGTACATAAAAACTATCACAATCACTAAATTCTACATACGTTTTTACATGGGTTTGCCCAACCCAAGTTTAAAGTAAGTTATAAATTAGAAATTGCATATGTTGTTAGTACATATGTTTGTATTACAAATCAGAAATAGGCAGGGGTGTTTCCACACTAGCAATTTACCTAGAACTGTTTAATGGCTCTGCATACGTTTACATATTCTTCATAAAATTTGTATCTTTATTTCTATCTGTATTATTTTTTCAATATTCAGTAGCATGGAGCTGTGAATCACTGCATCCTTCACAACACTGTATAATATGACATATATGCACAAAAGGTTTATCGATCTTTCCCCTAAACTTAATACAGTTTATTAAAACACTTGAAACTGTTTGAAAGTGTAATTTTACAAATTCAATCTTTTTTCTGTACAATCAAAAATTAAAGGCTCTTTCAAAAATAATTTAACGTTATCTGTGAATGAAGTTTCTGTGTTGATTTTCGAAATAATTATTTTAAGGGATTTGTTATGAATATACTTCTGATTATTCCTTAGAATGGCAGCGTGATAACTACATTTTTGACGTCATTTTTCTTCAAAAGATTATTTACAAATAATTTCCAATTTTTTTCTACAATCATTTTAAAAAATAAATTATATACATGTGTATTTATCTTTATCGGTAGAAGTAATTTCAGTATGTAATTTTTAAAGAAATACCTATATGCAAACTAATTAACATCATTCTTTTCTTCGCAATAAATGCTATTATTTTCCTTTTGTAAGTATAAGTCTGATAGTTTTTCTATTTTTTTTTTGTGTCTGTTGTTATTTGTTATAAAAATTATAGGTAATTTTTTGCTTATTAATGAATGGTACATAGTGTGCATCTCTTATATTAGTAGTCACCTTTACAATATTATTGATTAAAAATAGTTAATTATTTTATTGCCCCTGCAGATTGACTCACAAACAAGGGAGATTGAGAAGTTCATTTTGATCCTAGCGATGACAACAGGAGATGTCTGACCTGGTATCCTTCCTCAATTTGGTTTGCTTTCCGCACATGTAAACCATGGAATGTTACATTCTACAGGTTCAGGTAATAATACATAGTTTAATTAATATTAATTATTAATCTGGTGTCAATTTGGTTAACAAAATACGGCTTAGAGCAGAATGCATTTTATAAGGAGTATATCTTCTTTGTACAATATAATACCGTTATATATTATTTAATTGAGGTTGTAGGTAAATCCGAACTTCAGTTTATTCAATTTTTTCTTAAAAGGCCTGGTTGGCGTTTGTAGCTCCTACGTTTTGCTGATTTTGCCACAAAAATTCATAGAGAACATCCCCCAATTTAAAAACTTTTTATTTCTTTATTATTAATATTTTAAACTCTAATTTTGAAAATCGAGTCTTTGATAAGTATAGGAATTCAGAACTGCTACTATAGCTTGACCCTCAGAATACTCAGAATAGTAAATGATATCTTTAGATAACTTCAATTTCTTAGACATTTGTAACTTGTTTCAATAGACAACTTTTAAACAACTTTTCAGAAATGGCAGAAGCAGAATTAATGTGAAACAAATCTTTCCATGAGTGTGCATGTTACTGATTTATACCGATTTACATTATTTTAAAATGGTAATTACTTTTTCTTGCCTGTTTCTATATAGATTGTCCCACAAATGAGAAGGAATTGCAGTTAATTTCAGTGCTACTGAAAGAACCTATGCTTTTGACGTTTTCATCTTGCAACATTATGCAGTTAATTTATGCCGTAACAATGGAAGGTAATTGGAAATTAATTAATTTGGAAGCGACTGGAATAACAAATTGCCTGCAGTGGTATCCCTCCTAGATTTGGTTTGCTCATCACACTGGCAGACTTTAGAACGCCACTTTCTACAAGGTGAGAAAATATGACTTCATTAAGACATTGTTTTTTTAATTACTAATAGTGGTTAATGTTAATATGCAATATTAATTTGAAGTCATTTTTCGATTTTTTACCACTACAAATTTCCTCAAATTAATGATTTAATATTTTCCTCATTAATTTGAGGAAATGTGTAGTGGTAAAAAATCGAAAAATGATTTCAAATTAATATTAACTGCTCTTTATTAATGTGTTACGGAATTTCTGTGAATAATTATCTATCGTCAACGTTATAAATTGAGGTTATTGTGCATCTATATCTGTTGACAGTTTTAATTTCCCACAGAGTAAATTGGTATTTATCATTGATCTATGAAGTTTCGTTTTAACCATCGGCATTTAATGTATGTCTATGGTTTTAACCTTTTTTCTATTATCTGCATCGTAAATTGACGGCGAATTATTTGACATTTATCTATGCCATGATCTATGGTTGTGATGTAAAATGGCGTGAACATAACGCTTGTTATTTTCTAATTCAACTAATTTTACTTGCTTTTTGATGTGTTTTTATTTGTGTTTCTTAATTATAAGTGTAATTAATACACCTTTTGTTCTTTTCTGTAGGTTATACAACAACCGAGAGAGAATTAATGTTCAGTTTGGTTATACTGAAACAGTCAAGGTCTACATGGGTGTGGTCTTTCGTAGATTATCTTCTTGATTTGCTGTTTCGTCTTCGCCTTGTGACATCGTGCAGTTAATTTTCAACCCAAGAGTGAGAGCAAGTGGATATTTATTTGAATTCCACTGAGACAACAAATTCTCTGCTACGCTGTTCCTCTTGGAGTCGATTTGCTTTTTACACCTGTAAATTTTGGAACGTTACGTTCTACAATTAATTAAGGTGGGAAAATATGACTTCATTATTAATATTAACTGCTCTTAATTAATGAGTTGAATTTCTGTGAATAATTATCGTCAACGTTATAAATTGAGGTTATTGTGCATCTGTATATCTTGACAGTTTTAATTTCTCACAGAGTAAATTGGTATTTATCATTGATGTATGGAGTTTCGTTTTAATCTTTTTTCTATTGTCTGCATCGTAAATTGACGTCGAATTATTTGACATTTATCTATGCCGTGATCTATGGTTGTGATGTAAAATGGCGTGAACGTAACGCTTGTTGTTTTGTAATTCAACTAATTTTACTTGCTTTTTAATGTGTTTTTATTTGTGTTTCTTAATTATAAGTGTAATTAATATACCTTTTGTTCTTTTCTGTAGGTTATACAACAACCGAGAGAGAATTGATGTTCAGTTTGGTTATACTGAAACAGCAAAGGTATACATGGGTGTGGTCTTTCGTGGATTATATTCTTGATTTGCTGTTTCGTCTTCGCCTCGTAACATCGTGCAGTTAATTTTCAACCCATTAGTGAGAGCAAGTGGATATTTATTGGAATTCCACTGAGATAACAAATTCTCTGCTGCAGTATTCCTCCTGAAGTTGGTTTTCTTTTCACACCTGTAAACATTGGAATGCTGGTTCTATAATTAATTAAGGTGAGAATACTTGATATAATTAATTTTAATTACTTTNCTTGCTCTCACTCTTGGGTTGAAAATTAACTGCACGATGTCACAAGGCGAAGACGAAACAGCAAATCAAGAAGATAATCTACGAAAGACCACACCCATGTAGACCTTGACTGTTTCAGTATAACCAAACTGAACATTAATTCTCTCTCGGTTGTTGTATAACCTACAGAAAAGAACAAAAGGTGTATTAATTACACTTATAATTAAGAAACACAAATAAAAACACATCAAAAAGCAAGTAAAATTAGTTGAATTAGAAAATAACAAGCGTTATGTTCACGCCATTTTACATCACAACCATAGATCATGGCATAGATAAATGTCAAATAATTCGCCGTCAATTTACGATGCAGATAATAGAAAAAAGGTTAAAACCATAGACATACATTAAATGCCGATGGTTAAAACGAAACTTCATAGATCAATGATAAATACCAATTTACTCTGTGGGAAATTAAAACTGTCAACAGATATAGATGCACAATAACCTCAATTTATAACGTTGACGATAGATAATTATTCACAGAAATTCCGTAACACATTAATAAAGAGCAGTTAATATTAATTTGTAATCATTTTCTTAAAAGAGAGAGCGTTAGAGAATTGAATCACGAATGTTCCGGAATATTAATTAGTTAAAGATGAACCAAATTAAAATAATAAAAATAGAAAATAATTTTCCGTCCTTCTGGAGATATTACCCTTTGTAAATCTATTATCTATGAATAAATACGTAGCTGTCAGTTCAGCAAACCATAACCTTATAAACTCGTAAGTTTTGTTGATAATAGTGAAAACATTTAAGTTTAATTTTTTTAAACCTTTAATACCGGTTTTTTGCTGCTTACTACTTGTTAAATATTTCCCACTGTATTGGCAAATTCACTGGTGGATTAATTTACGCAGTGTCTTTCTAAGAATGAAGAACTTAAAATTGTAAACGTAGTAAAAGAAGTGCATTTAAAGCTCATTAGGTGATGGTTAACTAAGTTATGAGTGACTCTGATGACACCGACGAGCTTCTTTTAATTCCTCCAGATTTTTTTTTGGTCGAGTCAGACTCGGAAAATTTAGTTTCTACAATTAGCAGTAACGATCTCTATTTTAGTATAGTAGATAGTTTAATTACTCAAGTAAACCATTTAGAAAAAAAAGTAAATTCAATATCCGAAATAAATAGTTTAAGTGTATCTTTAGATGAAAATTCAAGCTTTTTCATGCCTCAAAATAAGAAATTCTGTAGTTTTGAAGATCTGCAGAGAGCAGTGAAAACTACAGATTGTTGGAGTGCTCACAGTACTCCTTCAAAGTTGTTAAAGGGGTATACCCAAGGAGTATTTTCAGAAAAATGTTTAAATTCTACAAATATTAAACGCGAACATTTACAACCACCACCAAAATTTCCCATGAAGAGTTTTCATTTATCACCAAAAGCAGCACATCAGGAAGAGACAAGCAAAAATAAAGATAAATATAGTGAAATTGACAACTTTATAAAATGTGTAAAAAACATACAAAAGTTAAGCAGTATAAAATATTGCAACAAAGGTAATGACGTTGAAAAAGACACAGAAGAGTTTAGCAACCTAATAGAGGAAAAATTGGCAACACCAAAGTACATTTCTCGAAACTTGTTCCCTCTTCCCAACTCAGATTATTTTAAGAAAGTCAATTTATGGCAAAGAAACATTGATAGGTTTATACAGGTAATTTATTTTTTACTCATTGTACAAGTTAATAGAAGGCTTATCACCACTACTAATATTTTTTTTGTTCTAAGAAGTAACCTTTTCAAGACAAAAGATGATTGACACTGATTTATATTTTGATATTAATTTATTAAACTAAAAATTTTATTTAATGAATGAGCACCATAACAATTACAATATTTTCAAAGAACGATGCTAAAGTGGATCTAATAAAAGTGAGACACTTTTTACATTTAAGTGGAACTTTCGAGTACACATGACATGTGAATGTCATCAAAACATTTATTTATTATTAACCAGTTATTTTTATTAGTAGATATTGTGATCATATATGTTTCTTTATTTTGCATTAACCGTAGAGTAAACATATTTTTTTTTCATTTCACACATTCAAACATTATGTAAACTGCAGGAAAACAATATCAATCAAGTACCTCAAAAATTGGAACAGTCTGAAAAGATATACCCAGAGACAAAAAATGAAGAAGAGGATTGTTCTAATTTAAGTGTTTCTAGTCAGCTAACTGCATTGCATAATTTTAATTCGCAAAAACCAACTGAGAATAACGATGTAACTGAAGAAACAATAAAATTATCTGTATCGCCTTCAAAGAACAGAGAATGTTCATCTGAGTACAATAATCGAGGAGATGGGATAAAAATCGATCCTAGTCAAGTACCAAAACCTAACAGCTCTCTGGCCTTCTTAAGTTTACACGATTTGTGGAATAAAACCGCGGATAATTTTGAAGAGGGAGATTCATTTCTGTTGAAAAAGCTTGAAGAGGAGAAACTTATGAGAAATGTAAATATCAAACCTCTTAGAATAGTTGATATACATTCTTTTTTGCAATATTTTAATTGTTTGTATATACATATTATTTTGCAGTACTGTGAAGAATTAATACAACAACAACAAAAATGCATCCTCGACTTGCAAGAACGAATTTCGGTAGCAGTTCAAGTGGACCAAGCTAAAGATGAAGCAATAGAAGGATTTTTTGATGAATGGTACAAATTACAAAGCAAGATCAAATTATTGCAAGAAGATGTGCATGTATTCAAACAGAAATACCAAGAATCTGAGGAAGATAAAAGAACATACATAATTGAATCTACAGAGGTTTGCAATAATAATTACACTGGCATTAATTAACATTAAAACTACTACTGTATACGTTTATTATTAGAAAATAAAGTCTCTAGAAGATGAAATGTCAAAAACATTCTTATTAGCCAATAACAGCCAGGAGAAAGTGGTAACTTTGGAAAAACAAAACGCAGAATTAAGAAATAGAGTGCAGAATGCTGACGAGAAATATAATAATGCACAAGTTCAGTTGGCGACTGAAAAGAAGAAAAATTTACAATTTTTAAATACACTAGACAAAAAAGAAGAGGAACTTGCCAAAGTTAATAAAAAAAATAATGATGACATTACTAGAACAATTTAACATTGTAGATTTACTACTTTTAGGCAATGAAGGCGTCGGCTGCAGCCGAGGACGAAACAAACCAAAACAGAAAAATGATGGAATTATGTCAACACGAACTAATGACCGTAAAGACGCGACTTGGAGAATTGCAAAGGCAACTCCAAGATGAAAAGGAATGGAACAAGGATTTTGAGACGCAAAAGGCAAGGCTGTTTCAAGAAATAGAAGCGCACAGAAAAACTGAGGTTACTATAATGTAATACTTTTACATTCCCGAAATACAACGATTTATTTTAGATTACTTTACGAGAAGAAATTAGTAAACTGAAAGAGTCCAATGAAAAGATGAGGGTGGATCTAAGAAATTTTTATCAGGAACAGGTAGAAATGGTTGTTAGGGAAAAGTTAAAAGAATTCCAAGGACAGCTGGAGAAGGCAGAAAACAATCTACAGTTCGAGTTACGAGCGCAAGAGAAGTCTTTTGCCAAAGCTGCAGCCACACATATTTATCAAATAACCGAAAAGTTATAAAAAATCCGTCGTTTATTAAAAGGTTACATAATTTATATTTTGTTTTATTTTTAGACATAATATGGAAGTGCAATTGTTAGAAGAACGTCATCGCGAAGAAGTCAGGCTACATAAGCTGCAACTATCGCAAGCTCGCCAACAATTGGAAGCGACAAGGGCGAAGCTTCAGCGACAACAGGAACGTATTGTTGAACAATTGTATAAAGCAATGGAAGCTCAATGGATCGAGGCTTTAAAAGTGATCGAAGGAGGGGCTGGTAACATTAACAGTAGTCCCAGTACATCGATACCGAACGACCCAACCCTCGGAGATCGCCTTAACTTTCTTAAAAGCACGTCCTACAATAGTTTCGAACGAATCTTATCTCAGAACGTTAATCAAGTATTGGCAAACGATAACAATAACCAATCAGAAACGATTACCACTACTGCGGAAGAACAACATCAGATTCGAGAGGAGACACCACTCTCAAGTCGAACGCTTAAAAGCAAACAGGAGATTGAGAACGAGCTCCACAAATATATTCAAAGTGTAAGGAAAGCTATTTTTAATAAATCAAAATAAAGATCTAAGGGAGTATGTGCGATTACTTAAAAACTTTTTTAATAGCTTAGTAGAAAGTCGCCCCGTCTAAATGACGACCAACAATCGAAATTCAATTCAGAGAAGACAAAAACTGTTTGCTTATGCCCTTCACAAGTGCGTAAATGTGATATGAAAATGTACATTTCAAATTAAACTGATTATTGTAGGGTTCCTACGAACAAAACCAAGACAAAGCTGCTCCTATCCGACCTTCTTCAGCTAAAGATTCCAAACAACTTAAACCCCCTTGGAAATAACATAGACATTCTACAATTTTAGCGAATAAATTAAATGTCATGTACCCATTTTTATAACTGCCCATTATATTTTCATATTATGTATTTTACATATTTATTTTATATAAAAATAAGTTCACGTGAGAAATAAATCAGGATTGTATTTTCGCGTTCGTCTTTGTAAAATATTCAGAAGGAAAAAGGTGAGGTAGTATTACTTCCATAATTGAAAAACTAAACGCTGCAAATTTTATTGCTAAAATAATATATTAATATTTATATGTATATTACATATATTGTCTATTCATCTCTTTCTTTGTAACAGACCGTTTTTAGAAATATTGTATTTATATATAATGCGTGTGTGTGTGTGTGTATGTATGTGTGTTTGTGTTTGCCTGCCTTTTCCTTGTTTCGAGAGTATTTTTCAATTAAATTTGCGGTCATTACCGTAATCATTGTCGTATTACATTAGTAAGTTCTTCATAGGTATTATTCTATACAGTACAAAATTAATTTCGGAAAATTGGATCGTTTTTGAAATACAAAGAAAAATATTTAACAAAATGCTGCATTTTTGCAATTTAAAAGACTTTTAAAATGAAACTTACGATACCTGGTCTATCGAAGATATTCTCCTTTTCTTTCTTCCTCTTCTACGAATTTCAAATCAGTATAAAAGAAAATACACGTAGCGAGCTGTTCATCTTATTATTCTCTAACGAAAGACAAAGGACATAAAAAGGGGCAATTACTGGTATCAATCACAATAGTCCATCGTTTTTGTGAACTCGACGGCAGCACAAAATTGCGTCCACCAGTACAAATCTTCCCCTTGCAGCCAGTCACCAAAAAATCCGTTTACGTACTGAATAGTTGACAAAAGACTTGGTGGATTTGCCTAAATATAACCGTTACATATATGAATTATGATGCACCTAATAAAATCATTACAACTGATTACCTTAATTATGACATAGACTAAAATAGGGGTAAAATCATCTGCGGTGGGTATTTTGCTACCGATTAAAGACAACAGGTCTTTGATTGCCATAGTGCTTCTTAGAACGCATGAGACTTTGTCGCGAGGCGTTCGATAAGATGCCATATCTTGAAGCGCTTCCTGTGCCGGCAACCACGGACACTCATGCTGGAAACACGGACTTATCATGAGATCTTTGTGATTCGGATTGATCACTTTTGACAGCTTTTGCAAGTGATCCCGTAGCACGCTAGAAAAAGCCTTTTATAGGAAAATAAATAATCTAAAGAAAACGAAATTCACCTGTCTCTATCTTTATCGCCGTCTCCGTTAGGGTACAGGGCATTGTAGTAAACTTCGTTAATAACCGACCGCTCCATAGCCACCTCAACCAATTCCATATCGTCTAAAAATTATTTTTTGGCAATAACAAAGATAAAAAAAATATTTTTACTATTGTTGACAACTGACCTTGCCAAACGGTTTCTTTACGTATAAGTAAGTTCAGTGTTTGAAGAAATTCTTTTAGGTGGAAGCATTTTTCATCTACCATCGTAAGCTGCGAGAATTCCTTTTTAAATTTAGCCATTTCAATCTCGTGCCGTTCCAAGAAAAACTTTACACATGTGGTGGCCATGTAACTGGATGAGAGTTCCTTTTCACTTTCTATCTGTTCACTCAACCTAAAAATTGTTAGGAAACGCCGTAAGAACGCAAGTAAATTATTTAAATACTTTCTTCCAATATTTCCCTGAGTGACAATACTGACCCTTCTAAAAACGCTAGTATAGAAAGAAGCAACTGTCGGGATTGAATAAGGTACTGAATGTAAACAGAACGCTGACAGTAGTCTTCTTTCAAAATTGTGCACAACTTGTGGCAATTTTCTTCATCAAACATCTTCACGCACCGCAGGGCTTCCGCTATTCGGGCCGACGACCTACACTTTAACTTATGAGCCTTGGCCAATTCCAATTGCAAATAGGATTCTAAATCGGACTTAACCTGACCAGTTCCACCCTAAAAAGAAACCACTAAAATGAAGTGTATACGAATAAATAAATCGTTTTTTAACTTGCCACGCGAATTGTTGAATGGTAACCGCACGAGTTGCTTAGAACTAGCCTTAGTTTTTTTTTTACGTTAGAAAAACCGAGATTCTTGTCGTGCTCATCGCTACATGAAGCCGACGGACTTTTATTTCTCTCTGTGACTTTTGCATTATCCAAAACAGTCACCTTTACCTCAGAATTAGTACCATCACCGACCGTTTTACGATACTTAGCCAAGATGTCATCGCACATTCCTTAAAAAAAAAACAGGCAAACAATGTATGCATTGATATGTAGTAAAAATTATAACCTGTGAATGAAAAATTAGACGATTCCTCGCTTAATGTTCTTCGAAGGGTTGGGCCTACTGTATTTGCATTTGTCATTTGTACTTCCTCTGCTTCACGCATCGTTTTTGCGCGTCTGTTTCTGAACCCGATTCTAAACTTTCCGAGAAAACTTCTTTTTTCTTTCTGCTCGTCGTCTGAACCTTTTTCGGCAGTCATGTCAAAACTTATACTTTTCGGTATAGCGCCGTTTAGTGATGTTGACTTCAAAACTGATGAAGCAAAACTACCTTCGGGTTTTTTCGGTGTCGTATTTATAACTCGTACTTCGTTTCCCTCGTTCTTTTCACCCATTTGTGAATCCTTATTATGAGACTCCAAACTACTAGTACTGCAACTGCTGCTACTATTCGAATTGTATTCGGAGTTGTTCGAAAGACGTTGCTGATCCTGAACCGAAGAGCTTTTTGAAGAACGAACTTCTGGTCGTTCGGATCCGTCATCCGCGTCTTGTAAGAAATTATTTATCGACTGATAGGCAACAGTGGTTGCACTTGTATTGGTTCCAGCAACTGAATACTCCAAAACGCAGCGCTGGCAATTGCACCTACCTCGACTATTTACATCGTCTTGGGAAATGGACGAAGAACGACAAGGAAGATCGAGCACATTTACTTTTAAATGCTAGAAACAAAAAAAAACTATAAGTGTATGTCTGTAAGTATATAAGGATGGAAGATAAAAGTGATTTTGAAATTTATTACTTCAGTTACTTTAGCAGAATTCGCTTCAGTGATAGCACCAGCTCCGTCGTCAGACCGTCCAATGCTTACAGCATCTTCAAGACGAGCAACGCTTATATCGTCTGCGTCAACTTCGGTTAAACGTTCGCTATCGGAAGCAAGAACGTCAGTCGACCAGCCACTTTCGCTTTTCGTTTCGGACATGTCCAAAAGCGGTGTACCGCCACTGGGAGGTGCAGATCCTATCAAAGTGCCCGTTTCCATAATCAGGTTAATATTCTGTTGATCTCCACGTACATCGTTACCATCGATTGTCTCACAATCAGACGCCAACACATCTGTACTCCATGTATCGGATATTATGGATCTATCATAATGAAATAAATAATAATTAATAGCGTTGTATTTAAGACTTAACTATTTTACCTGGTTTCCTCGCCCTCTAAAATTCTCTTGATTTCAAACTTGCAAAACTTGTCATCTATTTCGTTCTGCGTATGTTTGTCGATGATTTGAACTTGGCGACGTGCAGGAGGTAAAGGCGGTTCAGGAACTTCAATTGTAGCTTCTTGTTCTATTGCTTCACGAGGTTCTTCAACAACATCGCCTTCTTCGTCGTCGTTTACTTGAGAACTTGGAGTATCGCGTCCTGAAATATTTGGAGTTCCTCGACCTGACACGTTTGCAGAAATCATGTCCGACAAATTGTCATTCTGATCCTCGTTCTCAAGCTCAACACTACTGTCAACAGAGTGATTACTAGCCGCTTCCGATACAGCCTCTAAATTATCAGAAGTGTTTCCAACAGAACTTTCATCGTGTGACCGAGAAAAACGAATTCGTTTTTCCGACCCGATTGCAGAAGATGCTATACCAATTGTCGATCCGGTTTGATTTTCTGGAGGTTCCAATTCGTTTGGTGATCGGTCATTATCTTCATCTGTCGATTCGATTCCGACAACTTTATGTTCTGGTAATAATCCGATGTGCTGGATTTTATCCTGATGAATTGGTATCACAAGAACAGCAGTAGGTTTTACTTTATTTCCGCTACCGCCATTAGGTGAGCTGCTTCTCTTTTTTTGAGTCCCTTTTCCACCGCTCTTTGTAATCAGAGATGACCTGTTAATTTCAGAAGACTGCTGCTGTTGCTGTACTGTTATAAGGTTATTTAATAGGAACGTTATCAGTTTTAATGAAGGGAAACAGGTCGATTTTCTGATCGATTGAAGCAGGTATTTTCTAGGACCGTCCTGATCGTCAGACAAGTTGGCCACAGTAATGGCTTTTTGTAAAAAAGCTACCTACGCAAATTGTAAACATTAACAATTTTTCAAGTTTTAAATTATTTATGCATTTTCAAAATTACGCTTACTAGATTATGAAGCTCTTCCAGGGTAAATAAGACACTTGTTCGAGCTACTTCTGGCACATGATCTATACCGAGTTCATGCTCGTTTGTAGAATTTTTTAAGAGATCGCCAATGATGTCATAGACGGATTCTTGTTCAAAAAGAGCGTAAAAGTCTGCATATTTGGGCTCGAGATCGTTAAAGTTAAAAAGAGCAATGGCTTGAAGTATCTGCGCCACTTGCATAAGATTATGTCTCACCACCTCGCAAATAGATATATCGCAAATGCCGTAAGCTTCGGGATGCACTATAGCAGGGCAAATAAAGAGAGTGAATATCAGGTCAGTGTTAACTTCTCGAACCTACGATAAAAGAAAGTTCAAAAATTGATTCATTATTCTAAAAATATAACACAGAAATACCTCTCTCGAAAGAATGCCGTAAGTTTTGGTCATCAGGTCGGATACATGCCCGATAAGCCAAGCAAACGAACCGGGGAAGCAATTAATGCTTTCCCTAATCGAACGAATAAAATACGTAGCAAAATAAACGAGTTCATCTACAGTTTTTCTTCTAAACTGACCAATTTCCTCATCCTCTGAAAGGCACCTAGTATTAGTTTTTTTATGCATAAATCTGAAAAAATAGCAAGTAAATACATTATACAAATCTTAAAATAGAAATATATACCGAGACAACGTCTTTTCTGGATCGACGTCGAGGTAGCCGTCTTTTTTTGCAATCACTTGCATGATAGGCTTACGAAGAGCTGCAGTTAAAAAAAGTTTTGCTGCTGGTAAATTTTCATGAAAAAGGAAATATAATTGGGAGAAAGCACAACATTTTCGGCGAAGCTTCCTGAAAAATAGTAGGATAAATAAACCCCAAAAACAAAAAATGCACATTAGAAAACAGTTCCTTATTTCTTAGTTTCATATAACCATATATGTATACCAAAACCAAATTTACACTGATTTCTATGTGATAGGGAATCATTTCCCATGTATATTATAAAATAAAATGTATACAGCAGTTGTTATCACTACCATTATTATTATTATTATTATTATTAAATCAGAATAATACATAGATATGCATTTCTGACACATTCCTTTACCTGCGAGGATTATCTGCTGTCACTAACTCTAACTTGGCAAGGTGTTGCAGTAAACTCAGTACGAGGCTTACATCTTCAGGTAAAAGTAAAGCACCATACAATCCGGAAGTTAGGCTGTTGATCACATTTTTAGCTTCCTCTTGTAAAGAACTTTCAGTGATACCCAATACCAGTAAATGGGATAACATTTCTGGCTTGGATCTCAAAATTTGCAGTAATTCTCCAAACTGACTTGTTTCCTACATATAAAGCAAGCAACATAGTTGTAAAAGAGCCAGAAAAATTGGCCCAAAATATAACAAACCTGATTCAATACATCCTTGGCATGAACAAATACAGTGTTGGTCAAGTTATTTAGATTTTGCCAACACTTTATTGCAGTAGCTTTGGAACTGGACATTGCCAACATATTTAAAATAATACGCTTTTGTAAATTCATCCATGCAGCTTGAGTTAACTTATCAATTATCTCTCTAACCTAAAGTACAATTTAAAAATTCATATGCTTACAATGTCTATAACTGCTCAAAAATATTTACTTTTTCATTTGCTGCTTTTATTGCTTTTAATTCAGAAACAACAAATAACCTCTCATTACGCAGCTGAGTTATCAGTTCTATAATATCGATTGCTTTTGAATCAATGTTATCCATGTCTTTTCTTTTATCCATTACAACTGTACTTGATATTTAAATGATGAACCTCGGGAGATCTACAAATAATTTTAATTATAAAAAAACTCCATTATCAAGTGTAGTACTAAAAAAAATAGATTTTTACTTACAAACTTATATCCAGTTTTATAAGTAACTGTGTAAAATTTTTGCAAATCTTAGATACAATCTACAAGTTTTATTCTTCTTTCAGCATCTAATACATAATATTTTGTGGAGTAAACGTATTGCTTCGTTAATACCACTGTAACACATGACTTTATTTTTACCTTTAATAAATATCAACAATAAAAGCTAATCGACAGAAATGAAAGTTCTTGTTTATTTTTTTTTATAAAAGTAACTGTATCATGTTATACACCCACAGACATCTAACAGTAAACATATTGTAATAACTACAAGAGATCACAAATAACCGATGTATATCGTACAACAACATATGATATGTACTGGTAACAATGGTTTGTGTCTACCGATCGGATAAAGTAGTTCCATTATCAACAACATTTTGTAGTGTTACGTTCTTAAAAAAGCAATATTAATATCACGTGTTATACAACTGTATTACATTTATTTGCTTTCAATTTTATAAACAATTAGTACATTAAAATTGCACTACCATTACTCAACGGATTTACAGTAGACTATTAATGTATGTGTTATAAACATCATCTCATAGCATTAACCACTGTGTATACACCGTCAATTACCATAGATAGTCAATTACAATAGTCAAATATATTTTGACCACGGTTTTGACATCTTGACTAATAACCTTACATTTAAGGAGAGTTGCAAATATTAATTAATCCAAAACATAAACTTTTAGAATAAAAATTGACTGGTTTTTCAGTAGTTTTTAAATAAAATATAAAAAATGGGAGAAAGAAAAGGAACAAATAAATATTATCCACCTGACTACGATCCTAGTAAAGGGGGCCTTAACAAATGGCAAGGAACTCATGCTTTGCGAGAAAGAGCTCGCAAAATTCATTTAGGCGTAATCATAATTCGTTTTGAAATGCCTTATAATATATGGTGCGAGGGCTGCAACAATCATATAGGTATGGGGGTGAGATACAACGCCGAGAAGAAGAAAGTAGGAATGTATTATACTACCCCCATATACGAATTCAAGATGAAGTGCCACCTTTGTGAAAACCATTTCATCATAAAAACCGATCCAGCTGTAAGTAGTTATAAAAAAACAACTTCCTTATTTATTTATCTTATTGTAGAACTTGGATTATGTAATATTATCAGGTGCTAGAAGACAAGAAAATAGGTGGGATCCAACAAAAAATGAACAGGTTGTGCCAGAAACAAAGGAAGTTCAAAAAAAACTTTATGATGATTCCATGTTTAAATTAGAGCATGGAGCCAATGACAACACTACTGCAGAAAGTTTAAAACCTCAATTGGTAAAGTTGTTTGATAGAAATGAAAACACATGGGCAGATTCATATACTTCGAACTCATTATTGCGCCGAAAATTTAGGGTAAAAATTATCCCTGTTTAGTTTTTTTTAAGTGTAAAATTCACTATATGAATACTTGCTTTTAGGAAAAAAATAAGAAGATACAAGAAGCAGCACATGAAGATAACAAATTACTATCCAAGTCAAACATAAACATTCCCCTTTTGCCTGAAAAAGAAGAAGATAAAAGAATGGCAAAGTTACTCAGTATGAGACTTAAACCTACTCAAAACATCAGCCAAAATACTAATCTGGTTCGTAATCGCATACTAAATAGCCCTGTATTACCAATGAGCTCCCTGACACATGTTCAAGAAAATAAATCTTTACTACATTTAAATAAACACAAAAATATTATTGCTGTTAAAAGACCAAAACTGAATACAAGTACTGGCACTGGTAACAAACAAAATGATGAACGCAGTAATTCTTATGAAGTAAAAGATAGCATAAGTCAAGAAAAGCATTCTTCCTTAAAATTGATTGCTGACATAATTGTAGGTAATAATGAAATAAAAAAAGATGTACGGATACCACTTGTTAATTATGAAGCTTCTAGTAGCAATTCTGATACTGAATAATATATGTTTATCATGTAGAAAATTAATAAATAAATTAACCATTAATTTGTATATCCTAACAAGTTTATTTATTTCAAAAAAATAACCAATTTTTTGTTTTAGTAATAATTCATATTAATAGCTAAGGAAACATGATTTAAAATTATCTTTGTTTTGCTTTTTGTTGCTTTATTTCTTTAATTCTTCATTAATAGCGACAATACAAACATTTTCTAATGTAACATTAGGATTAACATAATAATGTAGAACTGAATAGAAGGATAATTCATCCAAATAACATTTCCTACCCCAGTCAATAATGTGTTTGCATTTAAACCCTATATTTTTCATTTCTGATAAACTGATGTTCAATGCTCCTTCACTACTACATTGTATGTATATAAAAATGAAACATAAAAAAAAAAATAATCACTAAACTGCTTCCCTTATAAAACTTAAAAGTTATAAAAATAACATTCACCTGTTTAAATTTTCCTTTGATTGATTGCCTCTGCTCTTTCCTGTTCCACAAACGGCCCAACTTACTAGCCCACACATAATTTCAAAATCTCCATGTGATAATCCAACATTCTACATTAATGAAGCTTATTTTTTTTTAAATAGTAGGAATTGGCAGTATATTATGTTACCTTAAAAAAGTTTTTTCCAACATAGCTCTCCCACTGACACTGATGGTGACAACAAAAAGATAATAAAGCACCTAAAACTGGCTTTTCTTTCTTTGCAGCTATCAAGCATTTTATTGCCAAATCTGTAAACATTTGCTCAATTTGAGTAACTGAAGAAAAAAAAAATGTACACAAACAAACCAGTTGCCTCTCCACACAAATGTTTTGTGACACCAACAACCTGCTTTCTCTTGGTAACCATATCTATATTTTCTAACACAACATCAGCAATGTCTGCTCGGATTCTATAAACTAAATCCTTGCCCTTTTCCAGCTTGTTATCTAATTTGTGTCTAAGAGAGGCCTTTTCGATCAAAAGAACTGATGAATTAGATAAGTTACTGATGGATTTTGCTAACCAAAAACTCAATTTCCCTGTAAAACTACCTCAATTAATAATTTAACAGTAATTTAAATTTACACAGCACCTTTTCCTGCACCAAATTCAACATAACATGTTTCTGGTTGTAAGAGATTATACAAATCTAATATTCCTATCAGTGAGGATGTTTGCAATAAATGTTTAAGAGTTGTTTTGCCATATTGAGGACATTCTATTTCATCCTTTAATATATCATGTGTAGTGTCTACAGATGTAATAGAACCACTAATATGCTCTACAACAAACTGTTAAACCTAAAACCACTTCTATACAAAGATATAAATATAATTACTGTTATATACTTGATTTACTTTTTTGATAACCTCAACAATATCACTGTGTGAATATTGCATTAAAGATCTTTTCATAACATTCTTCACTTCTACTCTATTATAATCCTTTTTAATATAAGGCAGAGAAGGCTCTTTTCCAGCGTTACATTTTTTTAGATGTTGGCTTAATCTGCTTTTGTAACAGGTACTAAAAAGATATTTAATTAAAGTAGCAAACACATATATAAATAAACAGGATAGCTACTGTGTATTATCTAAAGGACATTGAATTCTATCTGTCGAGGCATTTACATCGTTTTCAACCACGTTTGTGGCACTAAATGTAGTAGGTTTATGTTCGCCGCAATAGCTTTCATGTGGTTTAACAGTCATTCGACAAAAACGATTTTTTCTTTGCACAAAATGTTGACAATGTATGTCCTGTACACTATTCATTATCATCTATGCCGTTAGGGAACTTTCTGTGAAATCTAAATATGCCAACGACAAACTGTTCGTGAATACTTATTTTTCAAGGAAAATGGAGCAATAATCTCATTTAATTATTACCCTTTGTAGATCTATTATCTATGATTATTACTTATTCTTGTGGTCATAGATAGTTATGATGGTTGTAATTTTGGACATAGATTGGTTGTGATCACAGATAACAGATATATCTCACATTTATGGTATATATCTATTATCCCTATTATCTATGCATCTACCATAGATACGGACATCTACCATCTATTATTATTTTACAGTTTAACGGTTTTTTTACTTTTTCAAAAACTGAATGTGAATGTTATAATTAGTGCTTTGTATTAACAAATACTAAAACTAAAAATGGATAGTTCTATTTTGTCGGAAAAATACAAGATTCCTGAGAAATGTATCGAGAAGTTAGACGCAAGTGTTAAAAGACTTTCTCCAACTTACAGTACAGTACATCTGGAAGAAGTTTTAAAGTCTTTTTTAAAACTTGGCATATTTAGTAAAGAAAACCAGCAGTATTGTAGTGATGTTAACTTCGTAACACCAAGTGAGTGTAAGTTTATAAACTCACAAGAGAAGAGTTTAAAGCTGGGCACATGGTCATTCAAATCCCATTCTAAAAACAAAAATGATATACTGATTGGATACTTAGAACTACTACCATCACATGGGGTTATACTTTTGAGAGACAAATCTTATAAAATCCCTTGTGCAATAGCATGTAATGAAACGTCAAGTATTTCTGCATATATTGATAAATGTGTCATAGTTATAAACTACACAGTATTTACTGAATCATATAACATTCCAAACCTTAATGACTGTGAATTCATATTCTTCAAAATACATGATGTGGCGGTTGTAAATAGTAACCTTTTGGGACCAGCAGAACCGGAAAATAAAAGATGTAAGGAAATATGTACTACAAGCCTTAGATGCCGTATTATAAGAAAATCTCCAGTGAGTAAATAAAGGTGGAATAATAGCTTTATATTAATAAACTATCATTTAGGTGTGCCTTTCACAAATCTGTAATCCAGAAATTTGGTTTGAAATTGAAGTAATTATTCCTGACCAATCTCCAAAAAATGAATTGCTTTGTTTAGGATTAAATTTGATAAAAGAAGGAGTATTACTTGAGAAGGGAAAAGAATATATATTTTTTTTTTCAAAACCATGGTAATTTATTTTTGGTAAAAACTAATTTGCTTATTAATATTTCTGCATCTTTTAGTGAACTTTATACAAACTATGAAATTAAAAGGTTTAGACCAAACCTGCCTTCCAGAAGAATAAATGATGCATCATTTTTTGTCGAAACAATAAACTCCCATAAAGACACTAGAGATGTTGTTTTAAATTTAGATCAGGCTTTTGCCAATTTAAAAACCATGTCTTATGGCACGATAATATCCTTTCAAGGAAAGTTACACAACAAAAAGTTAGTCAGGCCTAATAGTTCAAGGACCCAGTCGACAAACGTTGCTGGATTTGGAACACCCGGTAATATTACATTAATGATTAATTTTGTACTTTTACATCAACTGCATAATTTAGGCCTAGACACTCATGTATTGGAATTTAATTGTAAAGATGGGCAACAATTTATTCTGTACTTGAATAATTGGGAAAGAAATGCGAAGCCGTTAGGCTTAATACCGGAAATGGAAATATTAGTTAGAGATGTTGCTGTTCAAAGCAACCGTTATTACAAATCGACTGTATTTACTGATTTTGAAGTAAAAGACTATGGCCGAAACGTAATATTGAACTCAGTTCACTTGTAAGAAAATGCTATTTATGTTATATTATATATCTGTTTTAACTAATTGTTAGGGACCCACAGGAAAACATGCCTTCTAGAAAAATAAATGATGCATCATTTTTTGTTGAAACAATAAACTCCCTTAAAGACAGTAGAGATGTTGTTTTAAATTCAGATCAGGCTACTGCCAATTTAAAAGAAGAAAAGTCTCATTCTGAAGGCATAAGCGCCAGCAAAGAAAACAGTTCTAATTCCAAAAACAGAAAAACTGATTGTGGTTCAGGCACAAGATTTGCAGAGGTGTTAGATATGCTGCAGTCCATCAGTTCTAGCAAAGTTAGAAGAAAAGAAAAAAATTCAACACCTTTGAATTCTGAAAACTATAATAGTCATGAGTTAAAAGCCAAATCTTATGGCACGATAATACCCTTTCAAGAAAAGTTACATAACAAAAAATTAGTCAGGCCTAATAGTTCAACGACCCAGTCGGCAAACATTGCTGGATTTAGAACATCCAGTAATATTACTTTAATGATTAGTTTTGTACTTTTACACCAACTGCATATTTTAGGCCTATTCACTCATGTATTGGTATTTAATTGTAAAGATGAGCAAGAATTTAATGTGTACTTAAATTACTGGGACAGAAATTCGGATCCGTTAAGCTTAATACCGGAAATAAAAACATTAGTCAGAGATGTTGCTGTTCAAAGCAACCGTTATTACAAATCGACTGCATTAACTGATTTTGAAGTAAAAGTCGATGGCCGAAACATAATATTGATCCCGGTTAACTTGTAAGAAAACGCTATTTATGTTATATTACATATATCTATTTTAATTAATTATTGTTAGGCCCCCACAGGAAAACATAAAGATAGGAATTGACAGGCCTACTTTTCTTGGATATGGACATAAGCTGCCCGAAAGGATTACAATTTTCGCCAGATTTTCTGAAATTGAAATACGCTCGCTACGAATTAAGATTTCGTGTTCAAACTGTTTAACGATTTATTGTTCTTGTGGAAATGCCGACATTACAGTAAATCTAATGTAATTATTTTTAATTCTTTTAAATTTATATTTGTACAATATTTTTTACTTAAGGTGCTTCGTTTTTGACGGATTCGGAAAAGCAGTTCTGATTGCTAATGATTTAGAATTTCTGAGGTTGGTTCTACATATTTCACAGTATAGTTGGAATAGTTGGTGTAAAGGTTTTAAGCTGTATGGTCCTTTCAATTATAATGGACAGTGTTCTCCAGAAGAAACGGTCAGTTACATTTTTAAATTTCCCGTTAAAAGTAATCACGAGTTTTTAAATATTTTACAGGGTGTTCATGACAGGGACATGTTTGCAAAAAAATTGTATACATTGATAACTATCATTAATCGTGGTGTAACGAATTCATATTCAATAAATGTGAAGTGTAGGAAAATCGTGAGAAAGCATGATCCTCAGCATGAATATTTGCCAATGTTTTATTGCTTGAAAGCAAGAAGAAGTTCCAGACATCAATAGATATTTTTTTTTATTTTTACATAATTACTTAAGTTTATTTTGACAAGTTTCTTTATTAACAGGCGAATTATATGACCGAATTAGGTTTTTTCTTTGAAATAAATATTTCTTCGATCTTGTGAATGGTCTTATTAATACTTCAGAAATTACGAACTTGCAGAACCGTTTCCGAATAGTTCGCACAGAATGATCCCCGACCATGTGTAAATATTTCTTTGGCTTACCTATGCAATCCTAAGCAATATGCATGTATGTTGGGTTGCATATATTACATTTATTTAGTTTATTAATCTATACTTTTTATTCCGTAAAAATTGAAGTATTACAAATTTTAATTATGTGGTTACATATAAGGAAAGAATAGTGATTTTTAACGGTTGATTATATGATTTTCAAAAGGAGGGTAATAAGTACTGAAAACATAAATATCCTTTTGTTGTTTGAATATCAACATCCAATGTCAGTTGAGTACTTGACCTTTTCATTGGTTTTATTTATAGTATGCCGGAGTATTTAATACCTAAACAATTGCTTATTGATAAGAAACGTGCAGTGTTATTTGGTGTAATGGATGGCCCATGGTAGGGCCCATGGTTTTCTCGTATCTATATGCTTTCATCAATGACCATAGATAAGGGATAAATAATACTTATTACGCCACTCCGCTTCATATATCTATTATCTATGTTTGACGCATGTTTGACGTTAGATTTGACATTGTAGATGAAACAGCTGGCTGCTGTGAACTCGTGAATTCTTTTACAATAAATTGTATATGTATTCTTAATATTTAAATCATTTGAAAAAATTATGGAAGAGAAAGACGAAATGTACGATTTGATATGTCACTATCAAAAAAATTTAGTAAGATGTGCCGAAAAAAATAACGAAGAAAAAGTATGTACCCTTATGAATTGTATTTCTGACTTGATTAATAACAACTAATTTATCGTTTTAGATGTTATATTACATTAACAAATTAAAAAGGCTCCCAATGACGGTTTCTTATCTTCAACAAACAGGTGTAGGTAAAACAGTTAACAGTGTTAGGAAAATGGGTGGTGAAGTAGCTACACTAGCCAAATCACTTATTTCGTACTGGAAAGAAGTGGTAGAAAATGAGAGCAAAATACAAAATGACGAAGAAGAGGGCTATGAAAGTGACGCAAGAGAATCCCCAAGACAAAAAGGTGGTAAACCTTTGTAATTTTTATATCATAAAGTAATACAATCCTCTATTTTAGAAGAAAAATATACCAAAATTAAAAATAATCAGTACTCAAAAGTTTCTAATTTCCATCATAAACATTCTCATAGGGAGAACCACAAAACATCACGATATTCAATGAACACTCAGGAAGAATCAACACTCAGGAAGAACCAAACAGATCTATCAGAAAATAAAAATGGTGAAATTAATGTAAAAAAAGACAGAGAAGAAAATCGAAAAAACTCCATCAAAAGAAAACACAAAGAACATGAAGAAAGTAGCAGTAGTAGTAGTAGCAGTAATAGTAAAAATCACAGAAAATCTGATAATTCAAAATCCTCTTCAAGTTTTAAATCTACAAGCAAACATAGTAATCATTCAACTGCTAACAGGAAAAATCAGAAATCATTAGTCAAAGAAAAAAAGTCTCATTCTGATGGCAAAAGCTCCAGCAAAGAAAACAGTTCTAATTCCAAAAAAAGAAAAACTGGTAAATCATCGACAAAGGTATCAGATGAAGGTATTGATTGTGGTTCAGGCACAAGTTTTGCAGAGGCGTTAGGTATGCTGGAATCCAGCAGTTCTAGCAAAGTTAGAAGAAAAGAAAAAAATTCAACACCTTTGAATTCTGAAAACTGTAATAGTCATGGGTTAACATCTTCACCCAAAGAAACACCAACTGATACAGAGGAATGTCTATCACCTTGTTTAGAAAGGGTATGATAAATGAGTACATTTAGATTTTGTATTTAAGACAGTTCCTTTGCAGACACCTCCTCTTATATCAAGTGCTAAGCTTGAGCCTCTTGATATAAATTTGTCTAGCTTACTTCCAGAAATTACACCTCATTATCGCCCTTTAGGAAATACCACAGACATTCAAAGTTTAAAAATGAAGAAAATAGCCGACTATGAAGCTTTATCTGCTGGGATCACATCAAAAACTCAAAGGTAGAATATGTCTGTGTAAAATTTAAACTAAATTGTAATCTTTTTCTTTTTTCAAGGACTAAGGTTTATTCCGGTAATAAAAGCAGTTGGGGGGTGTCTTCGTTATTTGACATGTGTATTCGTGTTTTACAAGAGAACATAGATGGTAGTATAACATTGTAAAAGAACTTTCTCTTAGTTATTTTGAATTTTTTTTTAATCACAGCTCTTGAGTATACCGGAGGCGTGCCATATAGTATTCTGAAACCGGTCCTGGACCGGTGTACGCCAGACCAACTTTTTATGATGGAACATTACAATCCGTATTTGATCGAGGATACCGACGAATTGTGGAAATTTCACTGTCAAAAAGAATTTAGAGCGAAAAAGAGAGAAGAAATGGAAACATGGCGCGACATGTACATGCGATGTCTTGACGAAAGAGAGGCCAAACTGAAAGCTTTGACGTCGAATATAAAGCAATCGCAAGAGAAATCGCAGCCCGTCAGGCAAACGATGTTAGCTTACGTTGATAGCGTGGCTAAACCTCCCAGAAATGTTGCCAGAAAACAGGTATCTCTTTATTGGCAAAAACACTTGGAGCTTTTTTAAAATTAGTTATTAAAGAGCTAGTGGTTAGTACAATATGTTGTACATGATAAAAGTTACTTAATAAAGTAATACGATCAGTATTGACGTCGAACTTTTTTTTAAGTAACAAATTGAAAAGTTTTTGTTTAAATTTAATCAGAATTGTATTATGTATAACTGTATCAAACTATATAAGTGGTATTATGTTTAAGGTGAAAAATGGGATAGACAACAAACCAGTCATAACGCCTTCTTTAAGATTATCTGCGCTAGCGACAAGTGGAGACGCAGGAAAAGTTTGCGTTCCTAACCCTGGCAAATTAGCCGTTACCTCTGTTAATTCAGGTAATTACAGGTTTATGTAGCTTAAGAAATATTTTGTTAAATATAAATATACATATGTATTTATTTCAGGTTCAAGCAATCATGCGTCTGCTTTAAAGCCAAAAAAGGCTCCCCTGATGCAAAAAGCACTGGCGCTTATAAAGAATAGGTACCGAAGGTGAATCTTCGTTCTCTTTTGGATTTATCTTTTATTGATTTTGGATTCAAGTGGACCTATTGCTAATCAGTTTTTAATTATCCCGGGAATTATTCTGTACCACAACGTATGTAATTTTATGTAAATATTATTTACCTGCAGAAGTTTTAAGGAATTTTAGACACATCAATTGCAAGGAATAAAACTATTAAAAATAGAGGTATTTTGTTGAGGAAGGTATATTCATTCTACCCTTTTCATAAAATATTACACAAACTTGAACGCATTTCCCTTGTTGAAATGCCTTTAAATACTCGTGCAATTATACAATACAAGCTTGAACAGCTGCGCGAAAAAAAAAAAATAATAATAAATAAATAAAACAACGTATCAACGAGCGTAAAAATTCAAATTTATAATAATAAATTAAAAGCAGAGTCTATCTTACATTAACTAGTCACAATCGACAATATTTCGCTTATAGAAAAAGAATGTCCTTTGGAATTACACCTACAATTAATGCTAACTTTGTCGCACCATCGAGCGTCGGCAATTTTGATCTTGTCAGTTCTGGTTCTGAATCGGGCATCATCTTGTCCGCTACGTGTTTTATCACCTTTCCGTTATTATCAACGTAAAATGTCGAAAACCCGTCATACCATCTAAAGAATTTTGAAATTAAAGAAAAGCTAGAAACACACTATGTATAAAACAAACCCTTCTGCTTTATTAAACAATCTCTCTATATCCCACAGCTTGTATTTCCAAAACAGCGCAAGTACTTTAAGTCCAGATATACCTCTGATACGCCACCTAACTTTTACAGTGAAATCTTCAGGGTGCTGCGTTATTTTAAGTACTTCGAATTTAACATATGCAAATTTTAGGTGACCAACTGTTCTTAATAATGCAATTTGCTTCACATAATTATAAAGTCCTCTGAAATAAATGTAAATATTATATTTAGATATTCGCATAGTCAATTAAATATAAAGATTAAAGTTACACTGTTTTCCTGCCAGTTATGTTGTTTTCAAATATCATATTTTCATGGTAGATATTATAATCCATGGTTTGAATGAATAATTTTGGTAAATTATCAGATAAAGTTAAAAAAACCCGTCGTAATTTTTCTGGATCCTTTTTGTCAGAACTGTCTGCATTATCCTTTGCTAACACTCTATCACTTTTGGTTTGTGTACTTAAATGGAATCTGTTAAAAATATACAATAGTAAAAATTTTATTGTTTTAAAGGTAAGATACAGGTTTACCGAGAACTCCTCAAATTATTTGAATAATTTATGCAATTATAGGAGGGCAGATAAAGTTGGTGTATAACATCACTTAATGATTCTTTACTATCACAAGTAATACTCTTATCAGAAAGTGTTTTACAGTGCTGTTGGCACGAAACCTTCATTTTAGCAACAACTCTCGACTGATGCTACAAATAATTCACATATAATAACAACACACACAAAAGTAATGCAGTTGCAATGAATTGTCGATTAATTGTAATTTTCATATTATTTATATACTTATATATAATTAATAATAATGTATTTCACCTGAATACTGCCATTTAATTTATATCCAGTTATTAAAGTTTTGACGCTGCCTTGGTTTAATACAGAGCTGAACTTAAATATTTTAATTATTGAATGATTTAAAGAAAGCGCCATAATATACTTATTTTATAAGCACGATCGAATTAAAATAACTTATTTTAATTAATTGATTATCCGCACTGATTCTCATTCACACTTTAATCATATTTGTAATATTTAAGGTTAAGTTCGCTACATTATCTATGGTTTGCTACCGTGCTACACAGACTATAGACTTATACCATAGACAAAGTTCGTTATCATGAAATGATCTGAAGTTCGCTAAGTTCATAGATATGGCTAGGATAATATGAACCGTAGACAGTGTGCAGATCATAGAGTGAGTCGTGTGACTGGCACCCGATATAAATAACCTTGAGATTTAAACCTTACCAATAAATTGTGCGTCGTTTGCGAGTTCTAAATATGTAAGTATCATAACAGTGCGTTTGTTCATTCTGTTACAAAAAGTGAAAATTGTTTCGAGTGCAGGTGGAAATTGAACATCAATTTATTCAAAAACTACTGAAGAGATGATAATTTAATTGATGGTATTTGATTGCGCGTCATTTGTGCTTAAACTGAACTAATATGGCAAACAGAATTTATATTATATTATTTATTAGTAATAGTTATACTACTTTTCAATTNTATTATTCATTGACATTACTAATACACGTGCGCCATTGGTGAAACATAGATAAAAATGATCATAGTAATACCAGTGAAAAATGTGGTATTATTTGTAATCATTACTGATAAATAATATAAAAATAAACTCCGATTACCATAATAGTTTAATCTTTAGGCACAAATGACACGCAATGAATTGATGTCAATTAAATTATCACATATTCAGTAATTCTTGAATAAATTGACGGTGACGCTACTACGGACACTATTGCATTCATAGTATCTATGGAGATTAAAGCCGTTAAATCTGCGTTGAATCCGTTAAAGAACATTTTGAATTTGAGTATTTTGAATCGAGTCAGTTGAAGTGGTTTAGGTGTTGTGCTATCCAAACAGTATTATATTATTCTTTAAAAGCAATTGAAAACTGCTAAATGACTTGATCGAGATTTTGAAGGAAAGTTTCCGACTAAGTGATTATTATATTGAGTGACTGATTTTATGTTAAGACAATGTTCACTACCAAGTCTCGTTATGCAAAATCTGAAAATTCGGATAGTGAACAAAGCAATCACTCTGAATCTGATTGTAATGATCTCACTATCGTAGCCGAGTTCGACGAGTTAATGCGTTTAGTAAAGCAAAAACGCAATGATGAAATAGAAGATTCGTTAATAATATACGTCCAATCAACACAAAACATTGTTGAGAGATTAGTAAAAATTGAAACAGAGTGTTCACGGCTACGCCAGGAACTTGATATGAAAATACAAGGATTCAGTGATCTTGAAAGTAAATTATCAGGGGCAAGAATGATGCTTGATAAAGAACGACAAAAAACAAAAAAGGCATTGTATGACAAAGATGCTTTGGTAAATTGGAGTATCTTTTTTTAAGCATAATTTTTAATCAATATTTCGTATTAATTTAAGGAGCAACAGTTGAAACAAATTAAAGATATGTTGTGTAAAGATAACCGTAAGTGTTTAGCAGATGACACTCGTCAAAAGCTGATATATCTAAGTAATTTAAACCATGAACATTTTGAAGCAGGTGAAAGAGGTTTTCCAGATCTGAGTGCAATCCCTGAAGGAAATACAACTGGTGAAACCGTTTTTTCATCATCTTATCATATAAGACCAAGTCTTGTGTTTTAGGTTCCTTGCTATCTGAATTTAGTTATTCTCGATCTGGAGGCGACGATGACCCAAAAGACACTTCAGGTTGGGATTATCGTGCAAGTATGGGACATAACGACGAGCCCGCTGCTAAAAAGAGGCGGTCTTCAAGTCACAAAGTTGTAGAGGTATATCTTTTAAATAAATCCTGATTTTATTTAATTTTTATTTGTGTTATTTTATTTTGCAGATAAATACTGTTGATAAAGTTAAAGCCACGACGACTTTGACGGTTCCCAGGAAAGGACCTATAACTGCAACGTCAATTATCGAAGCAATTCCACCGCCTATAACACAAATGAATCAACTGTATCAGACACCAGAAAAGCAGGTACTTATTTTGTTAAACTAATTTTCTTATTGGAACGTTCATATTTTTACATTAAGCAGTTTGCACGAGACCGGGAAAATGGGAATTATATAAAACCTCATTGTCTGCTTTCGAAAATAACGGTCATGCCGGAGAATTGTACAGTATGTGAGAAAAGGGTTCGTTTTGGAAAAATGGCACTACGATGTAAAGAATGCCGTGCCATATGCCATTCAGAATGTAAAGATGCACTCCCACTGCCTTGTATTCCTGCATCCAACACTCCTAATCAAAAAGGGACAGTTGTAAGTATTTTATTACTTAACCATATTCTGATACAACTAGTAACTTTTTCTGTATCGACTTCATTTTACATTTAGGGAGTTATTGGAGATTATGCTCCAACTACGTCTCCTATGGTACCGGCTTTAATTGTACATTGCATTAAAGAAATAGAAGCCAAAGGACTTAAGGAAATGGGAATCTATAGGATTCCAGGATCCGAAAGAGAGGTCAAACTCCTTAAAGTAATTTAAAAGTTAATAAATTTATGTTTATATCACGTAAATCCTTGCCTATTACCATCAGGAAAGATTCTTGCGTGGTCGGGGCTCGCCGTCACTAGCTCAAATGGACGTCCACGTTATATGTGGTACTGTAAAGGATTTCCTCAAGTCCCTCTTGGAACCTCTTGTCACTTATGGTAAATGGAACGAATTCGTTAAAGCCGTGCAAGCTTCTGAACCCGTTAACGTGATCTCACAGTTGAAAGATTGCATTGCTTCTTTGCCACAACCCAACAGAGACACATTGGCGTATGTTCTGCTTCATTTGAAAAAGTACGTAAAGTAAAATCCCATCTTTATTCAAACGGAATATGTATTAAAAACAGTCTTTGTAATCGTTTTAGAGTTGCATCAGCCCCTGAGTGCAAGATGCCTGCTTCAAATTTGGCTAAAGTATTTGGGCCGACTATAGTAGGTTATTCTTCATCTGACCCCACGCCTCAAACACTTATCGACGAAACTAGGTCGCAAATAAGGGTATTAAAATCAGTTTGTTGTACACATAATTTATTCGTATATGTACTTTTCACTTTTAGGTAATGGAAGAACTATTAAAATTGACAGAAGATTATTGGTATGGCATTATCAATCCTACTACTTCAACGGATAGTAAGTGTCCGTTACAACAAACACCTAGCACCGAATCGCTTTTGAAGCCTGTATCGAAAGGCGTTTTTACACCCAGTATTAAGAGGTAAGTCTATTAGTTTTGCCATTTGCCTGCTCTTTTCATAACCGCTGTTTGTATAATTCCATGCTGTATTCATAACTTTCTAATTCTAATTTTAATAAAATGTATGCTGTTTATGGTGCAATTGTATGATTAATTAGATCGTTCGAACAAAAGATAAAACGGAAGTTTAATTAAATTAATTTAGTGAAACCTTCCATTTGTTTTTTTTTTTGATACGACTTTTTTGAATTGATCGTTATTAGCTTTTTTCGTTTCTTTTGTTTTATTATTGTTACCGTTGTTACTAATGTTGTTCTTGTTTTTTTTCAGAATTGAAAGAAGAAGGGAAAAATTCTTCCCCCCTCCTACTACACAATAAGACGTAGCGTTTTAAGTTTATACCAGGTTTATATCTTTCGGTTGTTTTATTAATTCAATTTGTAGTTTTAATTTAATGTACTTATTTTTTGTATATATAACAAAATGTTGAAGAGCGTGTTAATTTCTGTTCTAATTTCCTTTTTCAAGTGATGAGTAATAAGGAAAAACTATTCTACTTTGACAAGAAAATCGTACATTTTTTTAAGCTAAATTTTAAAAATGGGTAACTTCTACAGGGACGTTTCGTAACGGCAACGATGGTCATACCCGTACCTTTTATTCCTTTTGACGTTACTGACACTGATCACGAGTCACTGACCTTTGATGGACACATAATGACGAACAAAAAATATCTACTTAGCGTACTTCTTAAAGTACAATAACATAAAGAACACACAATTCCCTCAACGAAATAAACGTAATTGCGGGTAATTGTGTTGCTAAAATTATATAAGTATAGGGTTTGTCGTGGATGTTGCAAATTGTTTATTTCTTTGGATTTTATTTTTTCGATATTAACAAAGCCACTAAAGTCGGTCAATTTGTAGTTTAGGTAAAAATCTATGAATTACGCATATCCTACTGAGTTTTTGTACAAAAGGACAACGAATGAACACAGCAAATTTTGATGAACATAGTCTTTTCTCAGAATACCGCTGTAATGTGGGTTGTATAATGACAAAAAATATTTTTTTAAAAGTATGTATTAATTTACTTAGTTTAATACTGCTTTTTATGGATTCATAATTAAAAGGATACAAGAAAAACGAAAAACTACCGCGTAAACTACTCGATTTCATGTTAATATAATCTTATCGAAAATGTTATTATTGTTAGTTATTATGTACCACCCTACGAACAGGAAATTATTTATTACCTCTGCAGGAATTACGATTGCAACTTTTTTGCTTTTGTATACTCTGGTCAAATAAATATAAATATTTGTTAAAAGTCGTATAAATATGCATTTTTCAGCCACAGTTCCGTTTTGGATTATTTTCCATGACGCTATTAGAAAAAAATAACGACTTTTATATCACTCTAGTATACAGATAAGGCAATATATTTATTGAACATGAATTTTACACTTTTTTTTGCCGGAATTTTTTCTTTTTGTGTGGTACGAGCGAAAATTCATGATTTGACTGACGTTTGAAATGTGTTTTTCCAACCACGACTGTCCGAAAATATCGCCAGCTTCCCTTAAAACGGTCCTAGACTAACCAAACTCAAACTCTTAAAGTGTAACACCATTCAAGGGTTTTAAATTGAATTTATCGGACCTACATTACTTAACGATTAATAGGAGAATATGGCTGAGTTTTCCTATGCTGTTCCTGTACTGTTCAAAAGATGATGTCGCCATTTGACGATTGCATGTAATAATGTATCCCTACGTTCGGTTCTCAGTTTTATACATATGTATGTGTAACGTGTATTGTAATATATAGAATTAAATGCTTGAAATTGTCATTATATAGGTATGTTTATACTTACATTTAAAATATGTACATAAAATTTTGTGGCTATACCTAATTGCGATTAATAGTTTTCTTTTGTCCGTATAGTAATGTAATTTTACTGGTTATATTTTGTAAAAATTTTTGGCCGTTTCATCGTCCATCGCTCTTTGGAGCTGGTGTTCAATAGCGTCTCTTCCGAAGGACAAGACGACCCAGCTGCTCCAGATTCGTTCCTTTCTCCTGGATTGCCAGCTAATACGCTGTTCTTTCTCGACGATTGTTCCGAATTACTCTGACTAGACGTTTCGGAATTAATATCCACCACAAGACTCTGTCTACACAAAGCTGTGATCGTGTTCATGTTTTTTTTGTTTTTGGGGTCTTTGTTATGACGTCGCATTTTCACTTTACGAAATTTGGATGCGAGGTTTGCCAGTGCGGACTTGCTGCTTATTAAAAAATTATCTTCCTTCGTCTTCTTCGGACTTCGTGGTAACGAGACGTAACCGTCTCTGTGAAATGCGGCAGCATCGAATTGTCTACAAAATGTTATCGGTTTGTTTGTTGAATTGCACAAACGAAAGTGTAGACTCACTTGTACGAATCTGCGTCAATATTGATCATTCCCGCGCTTGCTGACTTCATTAAAAGTCCATGCCATGTGGACGAATCGCAGCTCGATTCGCTTTCGACACTAACTTGACTCAATCTGTTCCTGGACGGGTAGACTATCGTTTTGTCCGTTTCCATTGCAACAGGAGCTGATAAAGGATCCGGTTGGACTGACAATGAGACTTGCGCTGTTTTAATAGGTGCAGATGCCAGAAAATCTTCTCGGGACTTTTTTAAACTTACACATGTAACGAAATAAGAATTTTGATTCATTTACTTAATGCAGATACATGATACAAGATTTTAGCTGCATGCGTTTATCAAGGACTTACCGATACGATCTGCTATCGGACTGAATTTCTTCGTACGGAATTATGTTAAGTTTTAGAGAAGTTGGACGAAGTTTCTTATCTTCTCTTAAATTCTCTTCTTGTTGTTCATTGTTGCCTTTTGTTATCGATTTTTGCACTCTACTGTGGAGATTTTGTATCACTCCCGCGCTTACTGATCGAGATATTTTTCCTTCGCTTTTCTGAGACAGTTGCGATTGTTTCTTCTCGTCGTTTGTTCGTAAATGACCGACACTTGCTGATTTTTGTACTTGGCTTTCGGTGGATTGCTTTCTCAGTTCCATTAAGTACCTTTGGGTCTGCACTTTGACGCGTTTCTCGCTAAGAGGCGATCGCCACGCCACGGGTGAGACCGATCCACTGCTTGGTGTAGACTTGAGACTATGGACGTCTTGCTCGGATACTTTTTGATTGTACCGATTCATCATTAGTCTAATGCACGGCGATATTTCTTTCGGGGTCTGAAAAGTATTTATCGTAATTTCTAAATTTTCTTTCGGACTCTGTTATGTCGTTTCTAAACGTTTCCTTCTTTCTTTCCGACGGCATCTTCAGTGGTAACCTGGCCGGGGCCGAATTGTGACTCACCAACGGTCAGAGAGTTATCGTTACGTTAGTCCCAGTGAAGGTGCCGCTGGTAAGGATTGGCAAAACGTCCAGAAAAGTGATATTTCAATACGACATGGTACTGTACCTTTCGTTGAGAATTCGGCGACGAAGGTAAAGGGGGTAAGCGTCGTGTGTTGGACGATCGCTTCTGATACGAAAATGATGAGACCGAACAATTGTTTACGTTACTATGATTCACATTTTCTTCGATTTTCTTGTCGGTTACAGGATCGAAAAGTTTCTTTGTCGTTTGAACGAGAGCATTTTCTGGGATTACGTTTGAATTTTTCTCGCAGTCCTGAACTTTGCTCCTTTTCCAACGCGATTTGGAATCTGCCGTCGTTCTAGAACGATGTGTGCTCCTTACCAAATGGACGTTGCGATCGTCGTCCTCATCGCTATCATCCGTTGCATCTTCGTTCTTCGACACCACCGGTTTTAATCGGAATCTTTTTTTGATAGCTCCTTGTTTCACTTGATCCTGTCGCTCTTTGTCGTCAACATTGACGTTTTCTTTGACTGTTGCTGTTCACAAACGTTATAAAATTGTCGAACGAGTAAGGCAGTATTTGTCTTTAATTGCAAACGTTGCTTACCTGAAGTGGCCACCATACGATCCATGTATCTTTTTAAATCACCAATTATGTTATTGATTTCGGATGTTTCATTGGGAATGTCCTTCTGTTGTTGTCCTTGCCTGTTCGTCTGAATGTTTAAAGCGTCCAATTTTTGCGTCAGTTCGTCTTTCAAATCCTCAACCTGCACAATTACGTTTTTTTAACATATTTTTGTTATTGTAGTTTTAATCGGATTGACTATACTTTTAGCGTGAGTTTTTTTAACAACTCCTGCACCGACTCCTCTACATTGGTCAAGTGTTTCAAAGGAAAGCCGTACCCTTGTGGTGTTCTCGTGTCATCGACAACGCATTTCAACACTTCCAATTTTTCTAACACTTGTTCAGTATTTGACAATTGTTTAGCGATGTTCTGCAACACGTGTTATACATATCTATATTATACATGCATACATACACACATGCTCCTTATTAATTAATAAAGTTTGTATAACTTACATTTGCCTTCAGGGAGTCGTTATCGCAACCTGTACTTAAAATAAATACAAACATTTTCCATCTTTTAATTTCTAATAAATGTACAGTAGTTTTTAATTTTTCTTACCTCTTCTTAATGGGTCCTCAATGGTTTCCTCCCTAAAAGGAAATCGTTCATTAATTGACGGCATTAGGGATAGGCATAGGTGTATTTTGTCCTCTTACCCGTGCTTTTTGTCAATCTCAGAAATTTCTGATATCAATTCTGATATGTCTTTTGTGATTCTATCATATTTGGACGTGTTATTTTCGGCCATTTGGTGCGATTTACAGGGCCTAATAAAATTTGCAATTTTAATATTATTGTATCCATAAAAATCAACAATCTTTTTAACTTCACCAAATTTTATCGTCCGGTTGACGGTGATAGACTGGAAACAGCATCTCTTTGGGACGCTCCTCCAAAGGCGAAGCCGTTTCTTCGACGATGTCTTCCACTTCGACTATGATAGCTTCCGGTTCATCGATGTTTCTGTCATTTGTAAAAACGTCGTCATCTAATGTTGATTCACTTACTGGAAGCATGCATTCTCGTTCCAATTCTTCCACGTGATTTAAAGACAGACTGGAAGGTTGATGGCTGATCGTTCCGTTCAAATTGTTAACCATCAGACTGTCGTCTGACTTGGATCGCATCAAAGTCAGTCCGCCGTAAGTACTGAAAGGTTTGCCTTAAAAAGAAACCGGTGGAGTTTTAATCTCCAGGTAAGGAAAAATGTTCATCGAACATAGAAATTACACATTTTTTTGTCGGCATTTTTTCATTTTACGTCGCAGGGAGGAAATGCAGAATTATCTGGACATATGATCTGCTTCTCTGAAAAATTTTCGCGCAAAATCTTTTCGGCATAGCGTAACAACCTTCAAAAGCTTTAAATCAATTTTATAAAGAAAAAACAAACATACCCTGCTGGTCTATGAAATAAGATTTCGGTGTAAGTCCAAGTCCTGATGAGAGTAGAGCAATCGTCGATGATTCTGGTCCAATGCCTTGGGACTTTTCCCATTCGTACAGTTTCTGAGTAAACTTTTTCGAGATGCCTTCGAAACGATGGAACCCGGAGGGGGTGTGGATGAATATTTCCTTCTTATTGCCATTTCCCATTACAGATTTTCCGAGCTTTGTTAATCTGTAATTTATTTTATTTCGCTTTGTAACTTATAAATATGTGTCCAACATGCATAGTTAGTAGTTGTAGTGTACCTTTGTTCCCGTTCCATAAATTTTTGTTTTTCCCTTTCTAATCTCTGTTTTTCTTTGTCGATTTTGCCGAGTTCTTTCTCGAGCCACGTAAATTCCTTGTGAGTAGAATCTTTTATTTTTTTGGTGAGTTTCGTTGGTGAAATAGGAGGCGTTAAGTTACAATTGTTGTCTTGTAATTGTTTTGTTTGTTTCCATGTCGCATCGTCTGGTAATAAAAGTAGATTCGGTTTCCATTTTGATCGACTTGGCACGTTTGAGGACGAGGACGGCATCGGTTCTTCCTTTGTCGAACTCTTCTTTATTCTTTGCCATTCTTGAAGTTTCTTTTTAAAATCGGGAGGCAAATTTTCCTGTTTCATCATTTCGATGGCCTGCAATTTTGACGGATGCGACTTAATCCGTTGCCATTCTTCCATTTTCTTTAAAAACGCTTCATCCTTTTGTTCTTCTGAGTAGACGCTGGGAGAATGCGATTTCATCTTTTCCCATTCTTGTAATTTAACTTGAAACTCCTGACTCAATTTTTTTTGTAACTGCTCGTAATTCTTTTGAATTTCGGCTTGAATTTTTAGGGTGTTTACACCCGACGAATTTCCTACAAGTTTAACGTAGCTGTTACGCCCTTATTGTAACGGATTTATTAAAAATTGTTTACCCGAATACTCATCTAATTTGAAAGTAAAGACGTTCGTCTCTTCATCAGTACTTAGTTGAGGATCTCCGTCTGGAGAGACGGGATCGTTTAAGAAGGCCTTTTTTATTCTGTTCCACCTCGAGACCCGTTCAGATGTGTCTGATTTGTTAGTAGAGTTCTAACAAATTCAATTTTTTATTTGGTATTAGTGAAATACAAAACTTCTAGCGTACACAGATTGCAAATACCTGATTTTTAATGTCATTTAATATTTCTTTATATTTTTCCTTAACGCGCCGTGGAATGCGGTCCTCCTCATTTTCTTCAGCTTCGAACGCGTCTTCGTTACTACTTTCCACAACGATTTCATCCAATTTTATGTCGTCACTTCGACAGCTCAATGTATGCCTTCTTCTTTTAACGTTATCCTTATCATCCTGTGATAGAATGTACATATAAGGAGATCAATAGTTATTATAGTATGAAAAAAATTTTCTGGCTCCAGAAAAAGGCGTTTTAATAAATCGAAATTTCTGGTGTATGATTCCACTGGGAACCGCAAACAATCATACGTTTATAAGTTATACGTCGAGGCGGAAAATGTAAATATTTTGACGAAGCTTCATATACGAACATACATGGACACGTATACCGCCAGCAAAAGAAACAATTTTATTTAAAGCATAGTGAGGAAGTTTCGCAAGTCTGATATCAAAATAAAAAAAAAATGGATTTGTAACATCCATATTGTTTATCATGACGATTTTAATTAAATTACCTTATTTTGTAATATGTTGTCGTAACAGAAAAACCTGCGATTTTCATCCCCCGAACGTCGATCGGGTTGTTCTTTACGTTCTGCAAAAGTCGATAATACAATAACGAAGTCATTTTCTAAATTGACTGCATTACCTTGCTCGTGCAAATTGTCTACAGACGATGCTGTGGAAAGACTCGCCGGCGATGATCCATCAGCGGCTCCCGAATCTCCGGGACTAGTTCCCGGTTCTTCAGACGCTGATGGAACCCTAAGGTAACGCGCAACTTCACAATTGATGGGATGGATGCTTCCGATGCCGCTGTCCTGAGATTTGGCGTTGCTCACGTTGTTCGACGCCTTTTCCCACTTGAAGGCCGCTTTCACTTTAGTCCATTTCGAAATTTTCGATGGTTGATAGCTAGCGGAAGCCCTTCTGGGCCGAGTTCGATCGTACTGCTGTTGGTTTTTGTTTTCGCCAATTGACACCGATATTCTGCGACCTCTCTGCTTCCTTAGGAGCGATTGACGAAAACGCGATTGGTTCCACGTTTTAAGTTTATCATCCTTTCTTCCGATGGCCAGCAAGGTATCGAAAAGGTTCTCGGCCAGAGCCGTCTCCTCTTCAACATTAGGCAAACACACCCGTTCTACGTTTATTTCCACGTTCCTGTTCATCTTTTCCAAATTCCGTAGATATTCCAGGTCGCGGACGCGACGTTGCAACCTCGCGTTCTGTTGACGGAGGTTCAACAATTGTTCCATCAGTTTGTAAAGTTTTTCTAAATGATTGAAGGCCTCTTCAATCGCTATTGCCGGACCGAATATAGAATCGGATCGTGTGAAAGTTCTCTGACTGTTACGTTGCTGAAGTGAAATAAGGTATTGTAAAAGTTCCCGTTCCTTGTCCAAAATTTCCTGATTAGCTTCACCCTTCTTCGGATCTGGGGGTGGCGTGGGCAATTTGGTCGCATCGTTGTCTCTTTCTTTTGGTATTTTCGATTCTGGCGAGGTCGAGGACGACGAAGGATGAAGTGTATCGTTCATATTTGTGGAGTTGGAAATTGTGACTCGATATTATCCTTAAAGTATTTGGATGCTTAGGTACTCGTTGCAGAAGTGAAAAGGCGTTTTATTGAGGCGCACAACTGCACAAGTGTTTACTTATTACTTTCCGAATGTTTTTTTACCACTTTTGATTACACATGAATGCGGAAGTGAACTGCCGCCATCTTATAATTAGTACGAGAACATCGCCCGCAATGAAGTCATAGTTATGGCTTTTTATTGACAATTTAAATGGTTAAAAATGAAAACAAAACGGACAAGTGCGACTGTTGTATTTTGCGATCAACCTTTTACGCGTAACAGACTGGCTGGATCCGGCGGTCTCACATTTAACTGATATATTCATAGCTCCTGCGTTAGGAACGATGTCGGTGCTATTATTATCTGCACATTGCGATGTAGTACATACACTTATTATTCGTCCAGGAAGAGAACGAGCGAGCGAGAGCGCCGCGACCGACGCCAGGCGTCGTTCCTTATTTTTCAGGCGTTTCAATACCTACATATTTATAAAAATTAACGGTTTTGATCTACGAATGAGGCTCGCATTCTATCAGTAGTAGATATTATTTATTTTTCCTTCTCATAAACAATTACTTATGGTTAGATCGTTACTTATTTGCCAATTGTTTTGTGATATCAAATCGAATTTTAACGATACTGTTTATGTATCTATGTCGAACAAGTATTAGGTAGCCGCCCATATATTCGTTAGCCAAATATCCCACGCGATTTATTTGTTATGATTTCTTAAAATTAACTTAAACCGTATACCGTTGCTACTTATGTGTAGGGCACAATGACTTTTTCGATAGAAAAACGAAAATTCTCAAGTCTGATGTTATTCAGTATGAGTTTTACTGTTTCTATTAAATTAAATTTAAGTACTAAATATTTCTTTAAACGAAAATCTATCAAAACGTGATGCGATGGTACTTTATTGATTGCCAATTACAATTTTTCTTCTTTAAAAGCAATAGTTATTCAATCATGGGCTGGTTCTTTAGTTCTTGGAGGAACACGCTCAGTATCGTGGCAACTGGAGAGAAAAACAAATATGTTTTAAAAAAATCTAATTTTAACTTATATATCGATCGACATTTTGTGTACACACTTACAAATACCGACCTAACATTGACGTTGCCGTAAAAGTCAAAGTTGTTCGACAGTTCGCGTTCAGAAAAATTAGGCAGAAACTGGCACACATTTTCGAGGGCATCTGGGTCTCAACCATCGTGGTACACCTGCAACATCAATTGGTTTTTGTCGATTTTTCCAAATTGGATTGTTTTAGTTTTTAGATAGATTTTCACCTAATCGCTGTCGGGTAGCTTTCCAAAGTGATAATGTCTAACACGGACAGAGCAATGGAGTAACCCATCATGAAGGCGATGGAGGACAAAATTGCCAACCAGTAAGGAACCATTTTCGCTAATAAAATCAAAGCGCTTCCGGTGCACAATAGGCAAGCTACAACTGATTGATTATTTTAGTTATTGATGTACTTCCTTTTGGCCCTTTGATTACCGAGCAAAGGTTTTCTTCCTAATCGATCGACAAGCAAGAAAACGATCGTGTAAGCGACAACAGTTGAAGCTATCAGTCCGACGAAGTCAAAATAGATGGTTTCACTTAAGGAAATCTTGCAACGGTTTTCATTTGTTGCACCTTCCAAGTACAGAAGATTTAAAGGCGTTATGCTGCATTCCATCGACTTATTTTGATGTATAACATTGACAAGCCATAAACCCACATGAATACTCCTATACAAAGGACAAAAGAACCGTTTTACCTACACAACGACGTATCAACTCGTAGTAGAATATCATACGATCAATACTTCACTCTAAGGGAAACGCGATCCTGATCAATATGGCAAGTATCGTATTCACTGCGAATTTCTTCCTAAAAGTGAGTAGCAACGAGAAGAAAATCCTCTTTGTCAAGTCGAAAAGTTGTTCGGAGAACGTCGTCGCGTAAGGATCGAATCGGAGGTTGTAATCACTGATTGCGTTCACCAACTGGAGCGGGCGGACCTGTTGATTAGAGAAGGAAACAGGGAACGAAATGCAGAGGATGTGGGACATGTACGTGTCTGCTTACGTCAAACGTTTGGCTGTGTTTCGAATTGTTAATCGAATAGATGTACTTTATGGTGCTGACTGCTTCCGAATAGTCTCTCTTGAAAAACAAATGTCTCGGGCTGGACCGAAGCAGGGCTGTCGTGCATGCTATGATGATGCTCACTGCTCCCGAAAGACCGAACATTAGTCTCCAAGTGATTATTCTCATGTCAAACGATCTCTGATGTATCACCGATGGTGTCATTAAACTTGCGATTACTGCATACATATTTTTGGTTACGTCTTGTACGTATTAAGAAAAAAAAAAGCAAAAGCGTTTTCTTTCCCTGTGCCACATGCCAAGTGTGTGACTCTAATTGTAAATCAAATTTTTCCGATATTACAATCACGTATTAGATAAAAAGGTAGGAATTTTCCTAAATTTTCTAGAATGTTTTGAATGTTTCCCAAAGTTCCACTATATTTTCTGTAATGTTTCCAAATTCTCGTCAGATGAAAGTAGTAATTACTGGGCAAGATTTAAGTTCTACTACGAAAACACATTGAAAATGATTGTCCTCTCTTCCAATTTTTCGACGCCAAAAAATATGCCAGAGATGATTACTCATCTCAAAATGGCCAACAATTGTAGTTTTAAGTTATGAAGTTCGGATATGGCTACACTACTATTTTTTCCTTTTCATTTGTTTGTTATCATTGGAGCCGCACACTGGCTACAGGCAAGGGACTGCAGGATGTTGTTGTATTAATAAGTACTTCTCCTCTAATACTTACGGGCCGATATAAGGAGTGTTACTCCAAAGCAAACATCAGTTATAGCCACGTATCTCCCTCTTTTCGTAAACGGTAAATGTTCAATTAGGTAAACTTTCATAATAATACGGTTTGCAGTTAATCTACGAGAAGAGATACGTAAGATAAGTTATGAACCCACTTTTGTGTTGAATGAGAGTAGTTATTCTTACCCAGATCCTAAGCAAAACATGCAGAATTCTATCATGACGGTACCGTGGGCGAAACCGGCCACAAGACATGTAACGAAACAAACGAGTAAACTGCTCGTGAACAGGGACTTCCTTTCGGCAATATCGCTAAAAAAGCAAAGGGGGCAACTTCCCAAAGCAATTCCTGAAGTTGTAATAGACATGTATCAATAAATTTAAAACTGCCTTTGCATAATCATACATAGGGGTTTACGGGAGGGTTATAGAAACACTGACGGAGGTTTAGTGTGTGCAGGACCTAGGGGTTCAAAAGTTATGGAAGATCAAAGTAGCAAACTGCCACCAAATTAAGTGGCAACAGGGTTGTGGTGGTAAAAAATTAGAAAAGAATCTAACCGATGTTAGTTTCTTTTCCAGTGTTTATTTTGAGACTCTGAGATTCTCGAAATTTTGGCTGTTGGGATTTTGGGAGTTATAGGTTTACAGATTACTGACAACCATGTGTAGGTACTCTGTTGCACAAGAGTGCAAAATTGTGTTCTGGTACCTAATAAAGTGTAACACATTTGTAATATAAACATAGTCAACATCAACTTTGACACCCCGTAAGTTTCGACTCCCTGCTTTCTTGCATCCCACCAAAGTGTTGCCCTAACCCTTGCCAACATTCCTAAGCGAGACAGAATAGGTACACACCGAAATACAGGTAAGCACCCAAATTTCGAAAAGATCTCTCAGGCAATATCATGTCGCAAAAAGCCATCGGCAAGGCAAAACATTGAGTTGACCAAGCGGTTGCCTGCGATGCAGCGCTTGCGGAAGCTATTGCCACGATGAGGTTGTGGTAGAGTCCCCAACCTAAAATTATCAAATTTATCGACATCGAAACGGATCACACATCCATAATTATTACCGACGTTAACGATGACATCTTCGATAACACTCATCGTCGTTTCTTTTGGGAAAACTAGTCAAAAATCAAATTTTCAATTGGATAGAACCTAATGTCAACGAATTTAAACGTTACACTACTTACTCGATCACATCTAATAAAAATAATTTCATTTTTTATTGAGGTACCCTTGAATGACTGATCGCGCTTATGGATTTAGCGTCAGGTACCTCTGTACCTAAACACATTCGTGAATTTGTTCTTTTGGCCTAAACCCCTAGACAATAAGAATAAGCAATTAGTCGGAGAGAAAAGATTAGCTGCAGGGTGCAAATAAGAGGCGGCCGATGAAAGTGACCCCCACGGGGCGAGACCGTGCAAGGGAACCCCTGCGACAGTCGCAATTCTGCCGATTGAAAAGCGCAAAAATTTGTGACTAATCTGGAATAAAAGTCGACAATAACAAGACAAATTGTTTCGTTTACATCCGCCAGCGGGACAGAAATGAATATTAAAATTGAATTTTAATGTAATATTTCGCTTTTTCTCTTAATTTAATGCGTTCTGAGTTCATTTATCGGGATACAAAAAGAGATCGATTTAAAAAAGAGCTTTAAGATGATTTAAATCGACATAAAAACAAAAAAAATTCATTACACTATCAACGACAGGATAAAATAGTTTCACTATTACATCCAAAATTAAATCACTTCAAAACAATTACAGTCGACTTTAAAACGAACATTTAACCTTTCAAAAGCACACGTTTTAAAACAGCCAAAGTCAGTGTTAAAGCTAATGCCACTTTTTTAGTTAGTAATGCCCTATGTTTACCCTACTTGCAGTTACTTTTGAATTGATTCGAGAACTTAATAAGTTTATAGTGTACCTACACGTATATGCTTTGGGAAACTTTCGGAAGACTATCGTGTGTGATTGAAAAAGAAATGTGCGAAATTCGATAGGTCCGCCCGCCTACGGTTTTAAGGATCCAGATCGCATTCGATCCCGACTGAAAGCCATCAATTATTTAAAAGGCTTTAAATGCGAAACGGTACCGATAACTATAATTAACGAGATCGGTTCAGTTGTGTAGAGACGTTTAATAATTGGACGAAACGTCAGGATGCAATAATACTTTTTCTTTCTTTCACACACACACAATGCATTCACAACTCTTGTTTAAGGACTTTGTCAGGTGGCTGTTTAATCTTCCCGTTTCTGTTCTAAATCGATCGGTAATATAATTAAAACGAAGGTAAGGTAACACACGACATTTGGGCCTATTGTTTCACGTTTCACATTTTCTTAAACATTTCTTACAATTGTTCGTAATCAAACCTTTTCTGCTTTTCAGAGAATTAATCATATTAATAAACGAGGTTTCGTCAAATTAAGTGGAATAGTTTACCTACTTTTGGTGCTGCCTTTGTTTGAGTACAGGTCGTCTCCCTGTTCGGTAGCATTATTTTGCCGTTTTCAAATTCCTCGAAAACGAGCCCCTATCCCTGTAATTTCCTTCTGATTACGGTAAATAAGATGACGGGACAATTGATTTAAAACAGAGCTTAGGCCGTCACTTACGAATTATAAACATTATCATTATTCATTATGTCGTTGCTCGTCGTCTTGTTATACTTTTAACGTCGTACGCTGTAACTTGCACAAAATCTTTCAAAATCCCGCAGTCGCTACCTAAATTTCAGGGGTAATAATTGTTATTGTTGGTCAAAATTTGTCTACCTAACTACGGGTAGGTTTGTGTTAGGTACCCGTTGGGTCATTCTATGTTAAATGGGGGTTCCCTCGTTTTTTAGAATCACGCGATAATAATTATGTGTGGCGGTTTACAAAAAGATATTTTAATAAGTAATATTATTATACTTATGCTCTCTTGTTGGTGATGATATTGAATTTCTTGATGTAAATCATCAATATTTTTGGAAACATATGAGATGTTGATAAACTCCACTGTTCCGGTATCTTCCTGTCATTGAAATCTTTATAAAATGGATAATCCTGATGATCGCTATCGATTAGGCAGGAAAAATTAATCGCAAATCCATTTCGAGCACTCCTCCTTTACGAGTTTCATAAAATTACGAAGCCTGACGCTTCCAACTCGACAAACGTTATCCTGGATTATCCTTTTTATCGACTAAGGTAACAAGACCACACGATAAAAGAAATTTACGTGAAATCCTAGAAATAATCACGAACAACATTCTGCGACTGTATAAATATGGCGGAAGATTGTCGGTTGAAGATGGTGGCCAAACAAGAAGTGTTTATGTTTAAAATAAATTGTTTATGTACAAGTCCTGTTTAAATATCTATAGACATTTAAATATAACAGTTTTTCATTACAGGGTGCATATTAGGTATACCTACGAGCAATATATAAAGCGTTCGGGTATCTTCTACCTATTGGCTCTCATCAATTTTTCGGCTCGTTTGACAAATTCGAAAATCATAAATTGCGACAAATGAGTTTCCTGCAGGGGAGTACAGTACGGCGTGCGGTCGATCACAAAGACAAATAATGAAGAGACCCTGTCATTAGTCTTTCGTCCTTCCATTTCGAACATTGAATTAGCAAATTATCCCTGTAAACACTCAAACAGTCGGTTTATGTTATGTTAGGTAGTAAAAATGACGAGAACGGCGCTGCTGTCCTCGACATATTGTACAGGTATTATCTTTTTGTAAAATAAGGACGTTTATAGGTACGGAAAATAATAATTAGCCAACCATTGTGCAGTTTTCGATCAAAGCGTGTTCGTTAGTCGACAGTTCCGATCGAATTCATTAAAAATGTTTCTTTTGGTAAAATAACAACGAAATTTCCGATTGGATCGGTCAAGAGTGTATTTATTTATTTATCGTGATCCAACGTCGACGATAATAATAACAATAATAATAATAAAAAAAAGGCCCTAGTGAAAGAAGAAAAGAAGCAGTGGCATCAACAACACAGCAAGTTGTTATTAGAGGTTTTTCTTCGAGGTCCGCGAATAGCCCACCGTCATTACGACCCCCGTTGTCCTCTCATTCACCGATATACGCGATGTTTATTGTACCGCTGCCGATTCATTGTATTCCGTGACGTAATGATTATAATCTTGTCCAAAAATGTTCCTCTCGTCTCTTTCACTTCTTCTTCTTCTTCGTTTTTAACAATAACAACAGATATTGTATAACATTAGGTACCACCGTGCATTCTTCATAATACATACGGACACGCAGACGTGCATTTCTTTCTTTCATATTTAATAAACGTTTAGGACGATTACCTAAGCAAATCCACTTGAACGGCCAAAAGGACGAATGCCATCGTGCGACATGCAATCGTACCAGAACTAAATAAAAACGAGAAAACAAAAGAGAATAATAATCATGTATTTATTTACTGAGCGGGGTGCAAATTCTCGCCCCAATCAGAGAACGGCGGCGACCATCATAAACGCTTTTCTACACCGAAAAAACTAATGATAATTTTGGATTGTAAATAACTGAATGTGCCGTAAAAATATTAGAATTTATTAGGTAACGTGTAATAATCTCAATTTTGACATGTTTCTTTAAAAATTATTTCAAATTGCTTAATTGTTGCAATTAAATTTGTAATTCCAAATTGTAATTTTTATTATTTTCGCTTACGAAGCAAGGGGGTGGGGTAAATTGTAAATATCGCTTTAATATTTAGGTAAATTTTCGTTTTTCATTTTGTCCATGTATCTTTAACTGAAAAGTGGTATTTTTGATCATGTTAAATATATTTATCAATCGAATTTTTGTGTATATTTTTTTCAAAAATTTATTTAGATGCGTATCACTTGGCGCCCCTTAGACCGCCCGATCTTCCCTTCCACCCTAAACCTCTCATTACATGAAAAATACAGAACCCCAAAAAAAAAATTTTTACCAAATTTTATTTACTTATTTTATTTTAAAATTATTTTGCAAATTATATATTTTTTATTAGATATTTGTTTATATTTGTACTTAATATAATAGGTAATGCTTCGCCGAAGGGTAGGCGCTAATTTGTAACGAATATTAAACCGTGGGGCGAAAAATGACTTGCTCGATTCTGGCCAGAGGGTGTTAATCAAAATCAATTATCGATCGATTTTTTAACGAGGTTATTAAAAATTGATGGGATTTTTAACGGTTACGGTAATATTAAAACTGAAAGGAAAAAAAAAAAAAGGAGCGCATTATACCGTCGCGTTCCAGTTTTGTAAATTTATTTTAAAAATAAAAACTGTGTGAGCTCGTTAGCGTCAAAGGAGGTGGAGGTTGGGGCATGTCGGAACTGAAATCAAAGGTCCGCATTTATTAAGGGGGGCGTCGGGTCCGGAAAGAGAGACGTGCAGGGCAGATAATATAACTGAAGTATAATAACTACCCGCGCTTTTGTTAAGCCATATGTGACTCGATAAAAACTCATTCGATTTTTTTTTTAAATTCTACCAAAAAATATTTGAACGACGACTTGCTGAATAACCAAAACAAAAAAGGAAACATCTCCTGAAATTGCTGTTGTCATTAATGTTTTTCGAAAGAAAGCAGGAAGTTAATGTCAACTTCAGTGGCCTAGTTTTACAAATTCAACCAACCTGATGTTTTTTGCATTCGAAATATACTGTATATGTTCTAAAAATTATAATTCATTTTACTTGCAAAGAAAACACAATGCAGAATTATTTCTAATGCGAAAGATTAAATAAATCATATATTTTCGGGACTTTCGGCATGGTCCTTGGGACAGCTAATTAAAAAACAATCGCAATAACATCGACTTATACATATTATTGCACTAATAGCACTTATCGTTGCACAATTACAAATAATGTGTTTCTTTTGTTTGGCGTAAATCAATTGTTTATTACGGATAGTTGGATAGTTCAGATAGATCAGGTAGTAAAAATGGAATTTCATTGTGAAAATGATTGATGAACAAGGCGGAGGGTTGGAGGATCGTTCTAGTTCTTTTCCATCCAAGACAGAGCTGCATGACGTTGTTACCGATCCATCTAATTTCCGGCGTTTGCTTGCCTATCCGGTGAAGAACGGGACGAGGAAGCAATTATAAAATTTTGCTTTTAAATTTCAACTATAATGCGTAGTATGTGGGCTCTCTATAGTAGTAGGTCGGTTAACTGAAAAAGATTCTGCTACCGCAAACTGACGTTTGTACGATGATCATCGGCCTTTTTGTTTTGAGTCACGCTACCTGTGGCTCGTATCTTTTCCGAAACGGACAATAGATTTAATTGTGCGTAGTTTCGTGGGTTTATACAAGAAAAAACAATTTTTTTCTTTGGAAAATACTCTTATTCAAAATTACCGTTAGGTTTGTTCTTCGACGGTTTCTTTTGTTTCTCTTCGAGCGTTACCTTATTTAGGTATAAAACAGTCGGTTACCTATTAACTTTTCCGTCTAAACAAACGACCCTTTAATCGCGTCGAAATAATGGGATAGGTACCTATTGATGGTATCTTAAAATTTGGGAGCAAAGAAGGAGTT